CACAGTTCCCCGCACTCTGGATAGCCGCCATTTACCTCAATTACGTAATTCACCGTACACAACCGACCGCGCGCAGCTACCTACCATGGGCATCGCATGGTGATGCCCATGCCGATGCTTCCCGATGCCCGTGGTGGTGCGGTGTTCGTCCGCGGTGGTGGTGGTCAACTGATGACACGTGTTTGCGCTACCGCCGCTGTGCAATTAGCCCCCCAATGTAATTTCGCGCTGTAAGAGCGTGCCACGATCTTTTGGCCTAGTACCGTACCTAAGGTCGCCTCCGAACCCCCGTATTACCGAAAGGCAAGTGATTTTGAATAGTGAACAAAATTTAGCTGGCCCATCGCTAATAGTTCAATAAATATTTTTACATTTTAATTACATTTGTCGATGATTTATCAAACGTTCTTTCGATTATTCGTATCATAAATTTTACTACTATACTAAAAGGGTAGTATGTAATTAAATCATCCTTAAAAACTAATTTGTCGATTTTTCCAAATTCATGCCCTACTGGGTTGAAACATATTTCTTAGTATTTTTCAAGTATGATGAGTTATGGGATCGATTTTCGTTCACAAAGCCATACAAATACCTAAAAATGTATACAATGTATTCACAAAACTCTCTATGTATGTCTTTTAAGTTTCATGACTTAGCAACTTAGTTCTGGTTCATGAAATATTTCTATCGTGAACATAAATTTTTAATTTTATGTACGATAATTAGCAGAGGCGAAGCCATGACAGGAGATCCTATATAGTTTCATATAATTTTATTATTTCTATCAGATTAAAAATTTGCCAGATAGGTAAAATTTATACTAAACCCAGTACTGTACAATTTTTAGTATCTTCGTGGAAATAGATTGTTCTACGCATTCTCCATCTCCGGTCACTGCGTATAATTAATCTCACGCGTACGAACGACCATATTGGAAATAAATATTCGCGTAATTGAAGCATCGAGTAGGTGCGCGCCGCGCGGGACGTGATGCAATGTTAATGAACGGGATATTATCCGGCAACCAGTATCATTGTGGACGATACCCGCCTGTCGGAGTTGGTAATTGCGCACGCCGATGCTGATTAGGCGTAATTATCATTCGGCCGAAGAAATGTCCCTGCGTTACCGTGACACACAGGTAGCCGCGTCGACAAGCGTCGCACTTCGGCTTCCAATCTAGAAATTCGGCTAGTAAAATCATCGCTAACCGATTACACGGTTGAATAATAATTTCGATATTCAATGTTTGATGAACAACGATCCACTAGAAACGCGGGGATGAAGAAAGAAATAAAGATTGCCCACGGTATAGTGGAGACAAAAAATAATGCCTACGCGTTCTGAGAAAACGATTAAGAACAATCAGATAAAGGCTGAGTCGTTTGTTGAAATAGGAGTTTTGACTTAATTAGATGTTTTCTGATTTTGCCAGCATTGATCTGACTTTCTGATGAATACCAATAGAACTCACCCTTATTAGAATCAGCTAATAGCTAATATATTATTTAATTACATTGTACATAACCAATTTTTTTTGCAATATCCACTACATGGTTCTTATCTATTTCTTAGTTATTGTATTATCTAACTCTGTTCTTATAATTTCTGAATGAAATATCAGATGGAGAAATTACGAGTCAATTATGCTTAGGTTCAAGATAATAAATCAGTTTTTCGTGTACGAAATTATAAAGAATGGACAATTATTTTCACTTGACATTGCAAGATTAGGAACGAAACTATACTTAGAATTATCTACGGCTTCGCGTATTGCACTCGCACAGATACGATCAGCAGAAAGGTTCGTTGCGCTTCAAAATTTGTTCGCTGATTGAATTTTTTCTATCGCGTTTGCGTTACCGGTGTAGACCCGCGCGAAATTGTTCAGATAAAAAATTCTATTACCTGTAATGTGGCTGCCGATCAGATTAGCATCTTTCAGGGAAAATTTAGGTCACGTGCATCAGCGCTCTAGTCCTCTCTTTAAGAAGTCCAGTTTTCGGTGTATCATGTCGCTAGTATTATGTACATTGTGTAAGATTCTTGAAGATTTTTGTATAAAGTTGGTGAAAAATAATTAATTGTAGAGATGACTGAATAGTTAAAGAATTTCAAGAATTAACAGGTAAGTACTTACATACTATGAAAACAGGTATACATATTTACATTATACGATATAGCGAGAACTCAAAACATCCTGCAAAGTGTGTGACAAGATAGATCGTTGAGAAATCTACGATTCTGAAAGTGAGACGATTCGTTCAATCATCGATGCTCATTATGAGAAACGCCTCATGCGAATAGTATTGCCGTTCTCGTGACACTCACAGTTAACGTGCCTCCGTTGCTCGAATATGATTATGTTTCGATTTGAATCTAACATTGTGCAAAGGTAACTGTAGATTTGTAAGTTGTAAGTACGGGAAATAAATTTGGGAGCGTTTTGAAAATAGTCAAGAGTGAAAAAAAGGAACAGAACTGCAGAAATTTGGAGAAATGAATTCATGATCGCGATGCTTTTGCTGAAACACATGAGAATGGAAAAATATGGTGCTCCACCTCCGACACTGAGCTACTTCTTTCGCGGTAGGTTAATGGGCGGAGCCAAGGACGTCTGTTACCAAACTGTCGATTGATGTTCGGCTGGATTTCAATATGTTACACATTCTAATCCTTATTTAGGATTTGAACGTATCTTGAATATCATATAAAACAACAAATCTTAAAAATCAAGCATGTATATGTGAGTCGAAAATCTTTTTTAAGAACGATTGCACGTGTTGAGTCAACATCTACGGAATTTATGGCTTAGCAATAATTTCTGAATGAAATATCAGATGGAGAAATTACGAGTCAATTATGCTTAGGTTCAAGATAATAAATCAGTTTTTCGTGTACGAAATTATAAAGAATGGACAATTATTTTCACTTGACATTGCAAGATTAGGAACGAAACTATACTTAGAATTATCTACGGCTTCGCGTATTGCACTCGCACAGATACGATCAGCAGAAAGGTTCGTTGCGCTTCAAAATTTGTTCGCTGATTGAATTTTTTCTATCGCGTTTGCGTTACCGGTGTAGACCCGCGCGAAATTGTTCAGATAAAAAATTCTATTACCTGTAATGTGGCTGCCGATCAGATTAGCATCTTTCAGGGAAAATTTAGGTCACGTGCATCAGCGCTCTAGTCCTCTCTTTAAGAAGTCCAGTTTTCGGTGTATCATGTCGCTAGTATTATGTACATTGTGTAAGATTCTTGAAGATTTTTGTATAAAGTTGGTGAAAAATAATTAATTGTAGAGATGACTGAATAGTTAAAGAATTTCAAGAATTAACAGGTAAGTACTTACATACTATGAAAACAGGTATACATATTTACATTATACGATATAGCGAGAACTCAAAACATCCTGCAAAGTGTGTGACAAGATAGATCGTTGAGAAATCTACGATTCTGAAAGTGAGACGATTCGTTCAATCATCGATGCTCATTATGAGAAACGCCTCATGCGAATAGTATTGCCGTTCTCGTGACACTCACAGTTAACGTGCCTCCGTTGCTCGAATATGATTATGTTTCGATTTGAATCTAACATTGTGCAAAGGTAACTGTAGATTTGTAAGTTGTAAGTACGGGAAATAAATTTGGGAGCGTTTTGAAAATAGTCAAGAGTGAAAAAAAGGAACAGAACTGCAGAAATTTGGAGAAATGAATTCATGATCGCGATGCTTTTGCTGAAACACATGAGAATGGAAAAATATGGTGCTCCACCTCCGACACTGAGCTACTTCTTTCGCGGTAGGTTAATGGGCGGAGCCAAGGACGTCTGTTACCAAACTGTCGATTGATGTTCGGCTGGATTTCAATATGTTACACATTCTAATCCTTATTTAGGATTTGAACGTATCTTGAATATCATATAAAACAACAAATCTTAAAAATCAAGCATGTATATGTGAGTCGAAAATCTTTTTTAAGAACGATTGCACGTGTTGAGTCAACATCTACGGAATTTATGGCTTAGCTCTTAAGAATTGCTGATATTCGGAATCTTACATTGTAAGTAGAAGTATCGATAATCGACAATTGACAGTGGAAGCGCGGAGAGTCTGGTGAGTTCGAGCGATACTTTGTTGCACATTGAAGGGATTCGTGTCGCGGCCGGTGTTCGAAGTCATAACGCATTGTATTATAATAAAAGTATTCTGAGGAATTAGTCACAAGGTGGAGAAAGAAATGAAACCTTTCGGGAAGAAGACTGTGAAAACATCACGGCACTTACCTCAGACGCTGCGAAGAGTACAGATCCTTCCGAATTTCTAACCCATACTACTTTAAAATTTACTTTAGAAACCAACTGTTACTGATTCTAAATAATTTTGAGTCGATATTAACTATCATTTGACGAAAATGATTATCCTGTCCCAAGAATCGTACTAGGAAGAGTATTATAAAAAATTGCGCACAATGGAACGGAGGCCAGAGCCAGTCGAACTTCCTACCAGGGAGGCTAACTCGCATCCCAGATGTCACCGTTATCCTCAACCCTCGATTCCCATAGAATCCGCGGTCGATAGGGGAACGAGGGTGTCACGGCCGAAAGTCCGTCAGTTCTATGCATACGTTCGCTGGTCTCTAGCTCTCCTTGCCGAGCCCTGGCGAAGACCCTATCGGTCGTAGTGGCTGCGTAGTGCGAGCACGACGAGCGAAAAGGGTCCCCGCACAGGTAGAGAGAACACACGAAACGAAGGTGCCCCGAGGGCGTCGGGCGATCGTGGGCGTGACCGGATTAAGTCGCCACCCACACGGATACCATAATGGCCTCCGTGTAGTCAATCGGCTAGCAAAACGTCACAGTCTCCACGTGGTGGAATGGTGGAGTAGCCAATCAACGGTTGGAGTAACGGGCGAAGGAGGCGCGGCTTTGAGTGGCGCCACAGCGGCGACTCTCGGAAACCGTAGACCGGGCTCCGGGGAGAGGCTCGGGCTTCATTATGTATCATTATACCGGTCCGCGCCGCGCGGTGTGCACTGCAGTTACTGGGCCAGGCGCGCGTGTGTGCTTCTCTCCTCTCCGTCGTTCGGTCGGTCGGTCGCTCATCGTTATCATCTTTCTTCTACTTCTTCTTCTTCTTCTTCTTCTTCTTCTTCTTGCTCCCTTACGCTGGCCGCTGCATCGTCGTCGTGATCGTTCGTTCTTTCTCCGTCAACAGGCAAACGTCGGCCGTGCCGCGATGCTGATCGGCCTCGAATAATCACGGCTAACGCGCGTGTAGAGAAGAACACTTGCTGCCGGGTCGCTGAGCGAGAGCGAGCGTGTGTGCGCGCGCGCGCACGCCACTGTGGCAACGTTACAATTAAATCACGCAGTTTCGTGCGAGTGTTCTGTCACGCCAGGACCAGTTCGGATCGACAGATTATCCGGTCCCCGTCGCCGGTGAATCAGAACCGAAAACAAAATCGACGGTACCTGGATTTCGGGAAGTGCCGCCCTGGAATAATCCTCGGAATTCATATCCTGCGGATTGTCGCTCGTTTTCGTGACTGATTGTGAACCAGATTGTGATTACGAGTGACCAGAGTTTAATCGGAGAACGCATTGCGCGTTCCGACGCGCAGTGAATACGCACATCGATGGCCAGATTCAATCGCGAAGAACGCTCGATCGAGTCTACGACGAGCTGACGCGTACCATGATTGTACAATGACGCGCGAAACTAAATGTACATGACTCTTGTGTATCAGCATTTAACAGTTGGATTCAGTTTCATCACAACGAGTACGCGGGTGAAGTGTTTAGTGACCGAAGGAACTCAGACTATTTACGGATTTGAAAATAGTGCACATGTGAACAATTAACTTGCCCATCCCGTTTTCTCTGAAGTGACAGTGATACACTTTACTAGAGCATTGATCATCGTTATTGACGAGTCAATCGGGAACGCTATGTCAACGCTTTTCCTCTATACCGAAGATTGTACAACGCCGCAAGAGAAACCGTAATTGGAACAAGAACGGTCGAATTACCGTGAAATAGAGGCCGCAAGATTCGCGCCCCGTACGGCGTTCGCGCGACGGCGGCGGCGACGACGTCGTCGGCGAGTTTGTCCGCGAGAACTGTGGGCTGTGGCGGCGGCATCGACGTCGCGGCTAAGGTGGAGCGTCCGGGCAGCACGACGACGCTCAACTTCACGGACCTGGGGAGCCCATTCGGGGCGGGCGACCCCTGTCCGTCTAGTACCCCGACCCCGAATAGCATGTCCGGCGGCGGTGGACCGTCCGGCGGCGGTGGCGGTGGCGGCGGCGGTGGTGCAGGTGCCGGTGCCGGCGGTTCCGACATGGAACAGCATCTTCATCACACGGGTTTGGGCTCGGTGACCCCGGGACCACCCGGTGGCAACGGTGGTGACAGCACCACGTCCAGCACCCCGGTTTCGCAAAGCGGCAAATCCGCGTTCATCGAGTTACAACACAATAATCTGTACAATCCTGCGGGTCTACGCGGTGGTTACCCGGGAGGGCATAACGTGCCCGGTGCTCACCAGTTTTCGCATCAAGTCGGAGCCCTGGGTCACCAAACGTCCGGACCGGGCAGCGGGAATCAGCAGCACGCGGACGCAGGATTCCCCAGTCCGAGGTCCGCGCTAGCCGGATATCCGTTCGCGCCCATGCACCAGCATAACGCCTACGGATATCACCTGGGATCGTACGCGCCTCAATGTCCCTCGCCGCCCAAGGACGGTGAGTACCCCAACTGTATGTATTCGCAGCCATTTTCATTACTACTATTTAGAATTAGAGATAATTACAATCGTTCCTGGAAATCAACCGACTGATTGCGTTTATTACATTATGTAAGTGCACGTATCGCTTCGGATTTGGTGAATCTGTGTTCGCGAATTTGACGCGGTGAAACGAAAGAACAGTTCGTTGATTTCATGGAACGGGCAGCTACCGAAAGATTTATAGTAAATACTGATTATTGTTTGATATTCTATTTCTGTAATTGTTGTGTTGTACTGTAAATCTTTCGGTATTTCGTAGTTTCTTAATTATATGTTAGTTGTATGTAGAATTAGTTGAAAGAAACCGCGAATCTATCGTGCAAGTCGTGCGACCACAATACTATTTTTAAACGTAATTCGAAACTTTTGTGACGTTGCTCAGTTAATTTGCAATCGAGTGTTTTATTCGGTCTATTTAAAACATGTTGGAACTTCAGCGACGGCAAAGTGAAAAGTTCACAATGAATGCGTTAATACTTCTCCATAAGAAATGTGTACGAAAGGTGTTCCTTGACATCAATTAAGTAATTTCATTCACTAATTTGTGTCCGGTCCTCCTTCGGAGGGTCCGATCATTGAAAATTCATCATTGACGCGCGAACGCGTGGCAATCGGGCGCCAACACCGAGTCGTAAACCTTTTGATGTAGCTTGGTCGAACGTTGGTTTCATTCGACGAAAAAAGGAACTAAAACGGAAGAGGAGAGAATCTAGAGTAGCAGGTAGTGGTCGGTCGACGGCCGGGACAGGCACAATAACGCCGAGAAGCGGAATAAGATATACGACTGGGAAAGAGAATCCTCTCGGGGTCCGAAAAAGTCCCGCAAACCGGGCTAACGAACGAAACAAAAAGCACCCCGGTTGAATGAGAATAGTCGCGGCCCTCCCTATGTCCTCGAGAAGTGCCGCTAGATATTCAAACAGCTCTACACGCCACTGTTCTGTGTATCCCTTTGCATCTTTTTTATTCTTCCTTTTCCAACTTCTTTCGAATCGATATCAGCTTTTTGCCATGTGGGTAAGAATAGTTGACTAATCGCGGTGCTAAGTGGTCCGTCGCCTTGGCTTTGAACTTGCGACTGTTAATTGTCCCACGACATTCAATATTGATATCGTTACGATGATGGAAGCAAGAAAGTAGTGTACGTTGTTAGAATCATTGATCGCGGAACCCTTTTATTAAAAGCGCCGTTCCATCGTTTCCCTAATGAAGTTGTCACCTATGAATCGACGGACACGAATGTATAGTAATGCAGTTCTATAAGCACGACGCGGCGGTATTTGCGATCCGGAAGACGCGCGTCGAATTCTGAAATAATTAGAATAAAGGTCTTCACACGGGACTGTTCCGAGGATAACGTGTGCTATACATAGGATCATCCATAGTATCTCGCCTTGGAGGACAGTCGGCAACCCTTGGCGAACCGTTTATGCGTAAATTAATAATGACCGACGTTCTCCTTCCATTTCCACCTGTCTTTTACCGTGCCCCGTGAACGCGCACGATCCAGCAGCGTTTCTGCATTATGGAAACCACGGGAAGGCTTCCGGGGCTGGAACCACCCCTTTTGCGTAGCTCGTAGCACGAACGCGCACCGGTTATAGGCAATGTTGAACCGCGATGGGTTTGTCGAAATTGCTAGGAGAATAAAAAAAAGCGATAAATTTTCGATGTTTAGGTAGGGTTCATGAAGTATACTTGCGTTGGTTCACACAAAAGTTTTTGCATAGAAGAATCCCATAAACGATTAGTGACGCACTCGGAGTAATTTTCTATTCTTTTCTAGTAGTTGCAAATACCTAACCATAGCAGTGAACAATAAGTTTCGAGGGTTCTAGCGAAATACTATCCTCCGACACATGTTCATTGCGAGTAACCCCTGATTGTGAAAAATCGTTTGAATTGTAGGACATTTTCTCTCCTTAGAACGACTATTTTATCGCGATCGGTTTTCATAAATCATCAAACCAGCATGTGACAAGTTTTGTTCGCCTAAGAACTGAATTAGCCAGCTAGAAAATTTTCCTCTAGTGTGCCCGATTGCCAGTTTCACGACGGGTCATTGAGTCGTGTCGTAATATAGCTTCAATCCGCTTTCATTACGAATTAGATATTACATATGTAAATATGTACAATTAATTCATCGATAGCGTAGGAGGGGAATGGGAGAGCTTAGGTAGTCAGGATGTCAAAACTCTTCAATCGTACTACGTTTTAAGTGTACATATTTTTACGGATGAAATTATACAATGTACTGTTCGGATCGTCGAGGGCCGACTATTCGGCACGGAATATACGCTGTAACTAACTTTTATATCGTCCTCAACCGTCGAATTCCAGATACCGGTCGTCGTCGCCTTTTTAACGTTCACAATGTATGACTGATACCGATAGCCTTGAGAGTCTACAATGGTTACGAACATTGTTTAAAAGCGTACACTACAATAGCCATGTACTGTCAGTGTCGGTTAGTGATTGATTGCGATCCTCGTAGATCCTTCGAATTGGGTGTAGTTTTTTATTTGTTTTCCTCCTCGTATTTTACAGCGGAAATAACTGTACACGTGGCTCGCAATTGTTTTAATAACAATTATGTAACTCGAACGCGTGGTCACCTGATGTTCCATCGTTCGACAGAAAGGTTCGCTTACGCGTGCGACAAATTACGGAAAGGATTTATTCTCGATTCGAAATGCTCGACGCTAATGAAGATTGAATTAATTAAATAATAAATATCGTTTTAGAGAATCGCGATGGAGCTAATTACCGAGCCGCACGCTATTGTTTGCGCATCCACCTCGAGCTTTGACCACCTGCCGTTGCTCCTATCAAACGAGCCTTCTGACAAAATACTTCACACCTCTTCTCAATAATCCTCTTCAAATATGCTCAGAAAAAACAATGTCCAAAATGTTTTTGTTTTTACTGAATTTCTTTTATCGGCTTCGGTTCTCTTTAATGAAGTCATTCGAAAGCTCGCTTTCGTCGAGAGGGTACGGTCGTAGAAGAGAAACTCCATCGCGTACAGTGTACACAATCATCTCAGATCAAACGCATGATGTTACACTCGACGATGCGCAAACACAACGTTCCCTATGCCGGAATCTAAGCATGTATCTTGCGACAAATGAAACATGCATTGACGTCGTTCATCGTCGAGAATCTCTCTTCTGTCATCGACAGTTAACCTATGTCTAGCGGCGAATCGCAAATGCCCCAAGAACCATAATCCAATTAGCGTGGCTACTTTTACCGAGCTTATCTACGTTAGTCAGTGAACCTGGCAGCCGACTAAGCAGCGCGGCACGGCGCGCGGCCAGATTCATCCGGAGCGGTTCAGAAACAATGCGCATCCCTCGAACGTCGAGGTCTGGCCGGGAATTCAGGTCAAGGTGATGGATTAGGTATTAAACGGTTGTTTTCATAAGGATTAGGAACACCGACCTGGAACACCGGCGGGGATCGCCTCGAAAGGTCTCCGTCGGTCGATTCCCTAGAAGCTGGCTCCTCCTCGACGGACGATGGTGACGCCGGCGACGAACTCTACTTTTCTCGTCCAGAGGATTTGCACGGAAGTCGTGTTTTCTCTGGCGTAGATACATCCGTAGATATCGTGCGGCTGCCACTCAACCGGATCCTGGGAATTCGTTCGTCCCCCAGCTGACAATGAGAAAAGTAGGGTTCGAACGGTCGTCACGCAAAGTGCATCGGCTAGCTGCAACGATCGTCGATAAATTATTCGGCCCGCTCTCTCCAACGTTTTTCGAATCGCATTCGTTTAACTTAGCATTCGTGAAGCTATTCTACTTCATCAATTTCAAAACTAACGAAAAAACAAACTTTTTTTCGACAAGATTTGATTCTCATGAAAGGTGTATTAATTATAATTTATGATCCTATATTTCTCTTGCAAATTCCATGTCGGATATTTCGGTTCGATAAATTACTGCTTTGCGAATAATTATTTTGAGCATCGATCGATACCGGACACGCGAAAATCGGGATGGAAACGCGCGCGTAAAAGAGAGTCGGGAACTCAGGACCGTCCGCAAATGAGCCCCGCGAATTATGGTAAAGTAGTAGTTTCACTACCGTGGGACGGTTTTCAGCGACCGCTTTGCATACACCGCGCCGTGTTAATGACGCCGCGGTGCCGCGAAAAATGTATCGTAAAACCGTGATTTTTGTTTCAAGTTTCTTTGAAGGCGAGATCTTTATGCACCTCTGTTGTCCGGGTGTTGCGTCAGGTTCTGTGATTAACGTTGTTAGTATACGGGTTAGTAATCAGTTGGGTAGCAGGCTATAAATTCGTTCTATCCAACTGGAGTCGCGGTAAGAAGAGAATTGTCAACTGAACATGAATTTTAATGCCGTCTGTCTAAGTATCATAATTTTATTCTTTACAGAATTCGTGTAAATGATACGACAAATGAATTATTCTCTTGAACAATCCGTTTTTTTATTGCATTTTCATAACAGCTACTATTCTCTGCTAACAGTAGGTTGCTAAACAAACATAAACTAGAAAACGCGGCCCAGATAACAGTGCGACTACCTTTTCAAGAAAGCAATATATCCGGTTAGAAATGATAAAACACCAAATAATGTTATCGCGTTCATTAGAAGGAAAATCGTGTAGGTTCGCGTCTTCAACGATAGCCACTAGCGAGTAAGCTAAAAGTTTAAGTTAAACGGAGAATTCTAGTGGTTCATAAAAGAGGCCACAGTGAAAATTTACTTCGTGTTTTAAAAAGTAACGCCGTGTCGATCAACAAAATCAATCAACAATTACGAACACTTGACATATCACGATTTATTAAGTTGGTCGCTAATATCCGTCGTGTTGGCATATAATTAAAATCCCTCTGTCATTTTCTGATTGATCTTGCAAATCTGATTCACGGGTCAGCATTCCACGTTTCTCTTCTCAGTGACACGGTCGGCAATGCCGTGGCGTTATGCGAATCTTATGCGTGTCCTTCGCCTTACTATAAATTACAGTAATAATTAATAGTTTCGCATATAATTAGATAGAGCAGAGTTTATTGGACTACTACATTATCACTTTACGCAGTTAATTTTCTGTTTTCATTCTCCATGCCACTTTTCAGCCCTTGTTGCTACCTCCATGGCAAACACATGTCAGTTAATCCTAGAACTTCGTATTATGTAATTGATATAGTTTATGCCGTTTTTCGTTTCATTCTAATTGTCTGGTTCTGATTTCGTTTCATGTTTTTTTTTATGTTTTCTATCATAAACTCTTGACTTACCAGCAGCATTAGGATAGAACCGCGCTGCATTTGACAGCAAGCGTCACTTGTACGGCAAAATAAAAGATTCTGTTCATGAGACGCGTACGTGCGTTAAATCTTTCACGGTGACATTTTCTTGAACACCACCGTAGAAAATGACAAGGTTGGTTTGTTTGGATTTCTAAATGACTGTGTTACGTTCAAGGATTCACACCGCACAGCGCATAACGCTACATTGCAATTAGGGTATAAACATAATGGCGCGATCGCACGTACGATAGCGTTGCCCGGGCTGGCATGATGCGTTTATATTTAATCGGTGCGTAATTATTCGATGATTAATTTATAACAATTCTTTCTAATTAATTACACGTATGGTTAACACTCCGATATCGCACGCGGCGATAGCGATCACACGTGGCAAATTACGCGAGATTAATCATGATTTATCGCAGCTACCTATGACCGAAATTTAATTACGATCTCCGACGCAACTTTCATCCCCTCCTTCTTCATCTTTTTTTAATCCAGCGATCTTCCGATCTTTCTTTCTTTTTCCCGAGGGTTTAACTTTTTATTCAGGTTTTCGTTGAATTTCTCTTTAGTTTGTACGCAACTGGTGACGAGGATTCTGAAAGTTGATGTTAGGGTGGTGCATGTTCGCAGACCTCTCGCCACTGGGTGACAAGGGTGGCAGCCTGGTCGACGAGCTCGGCGGCGGCGGCGGTGGTTCCTTGAGGAACGGGAAAGGCAAGAAGATGAGGAAACCACGAACGATCTACAGCAGCCTCCAGTTGCAACAACTCAACAGGCGGTTCCAGAGAACACAATACCTCGCACTACCAGAACGAGCAGAGCTCGCGGCGAGTCTCGGTCTGACGCAAACCCAGGTCAGATTCAACTTCTATTTTATTTTCCTTCCTTCCTCATTCTTTCCGCGATTCGAGTCCTCTCTCACGGAAACGAGTTTCTCACGTGCAGACGAAATTCACGTGCTCGCCCGATGCACTTCGGTTCGAGGGATGATGATGAACACCGCACTCGTCACGCGAATCAACGCGCGGTTACCTTGTTCCGTGGCTATTTCACCGTGTTTTCACGTTATCTCGGCAATTAACCATGGTTTCCATGAAAATCTCATTACGGTTCGCGATACGCTGTTTAGCTTCGTGCACGAGGAAAATCCCTCTGCGGAAGCAGCCTCCGATGTTGCGAACTATACTAGAAGATACATGACGTTGAACATTTTCTCACGGTAATCTTCTAAATTTTATTTCCTTTGTGTACAATACTTTCCCTAAGGACTGTCACAAGATAATTTTACCAAATTCTCGTTATGCTTCATGTTCACCCTTGCAATCTCCGATTTTTTAAAAAGTCGCTCATGTGTCGCAATTAAAGATCAACATTTTCGGATACGTTGTATAAATATAATTAATGAGCAAACATATACAAGCTCGTAACTATAGTAATTGTTTGCAATTGTTAAAAAAATTTGGTGTAGGTAAAATCGTAGCAGTATAAGAATTTTATTTTGCAATTTTCGCACAATATCCATGGAGGATAGTCATATTTCGCGTTCGCCCCACGAAACCACGAGGAGATCCTGTTGCACGGACAGTCCAGCGTAACAGGATCCTCGATGGACGGCATCTGTCCGCATTATCGGCACAAATGACTTACTAAATCACCGATCTGCCACGCCCTGGTCACCGAGGGTAAGGTTACAATAGTTGTCAAACGCGAGAACGGGGAGAAAACGGTAGTGAAACAGTAACGAGGCGATCATAAATATTCCGCCGCGTCGCGGAGTTTTTCATACTTTCCGCGATGGACATAGGTGGACTTTCCGCTAATTATCCGACCCGGTTTCCAATTAACGATTTATTGGACGGAGCAGGGGAGCCGTGGTCAAAAGCTAATTAGGGCTAGTCTTCTGGAAGCCATGAATTTCTCGCGGTTTCCAATTAACGATTTATTAGACCGCGATCGCTTCGGAGCTAATTGAAACGAACCACACCGCGAGCGTACAGGAAATTATCGTCCAGATAAGTCCACGTTTAAGACCTATCGTTAGAATGCGTTATTCGGCTAAAGATATGTACATTCATGATTCGTGAAATCTCATGTTTTACACTCTTTTTGTTACTTCTGCTAACTTTAATTGCCAACAATTCAAGACTCGTTTAATTAAGAAAAAAAGAGCCTAATAAACTGTAATAGAAGCAGCTATTTGCTGCGGACATCAAACAGATCACATAATAACAGTGGATATATTCAGAACGAAGAGTGACCCCAAATTGATTTATTTGAACCCGATCCCCCCAGTCCCATACGTGCGGACGTCAAATGGCTAAAGGTTTTCTCATAGATACGCATGCGATACGTAACTGCGTATCGCGTAATCACGGGATAGCTGGCTGCCGTAGCACGCTGATGCCGTCGCAGGGGGTCCCGAACCGGATAATTTCATTAGTCTGAGCTCCGCGGGAGTTATTCCCCTCTCTCCGTCGTTCAGAGAATCGAGCTCGGCGCAGCCTGATGAGTAATCGCGCGGCATCGCGACAAGTTGCTTGCAAAATAACATGCGGAAAAAGCGGTCTCCCTGTTGATTTTCAATAGGAGACAGTCTACTCGTGAATCCAGTTCGTTATCTTCAGACGAACTTATAAAATATTCTGTTACGTATTGCTTTCCTTATTTTACAAGATCCAGTTGCTGCTAAAGATGTTAAATTGTCATGCATTTGGAACTAAAGAATCACTCCACGATCTTTTCGATTTCTTCAAGGCTTCGTCATGAATTTCTTCAAATTGAAGGGTAGTTTCTACTATTAGACCTTCGAGCGTCCAAGAACGTTATCAGAATCCTGTGGCACAGCGGCAGCTGACTAGGTCCTTCAAGAACCTCGCGATCAGTGCATCTCTTCAGGGTGCACCGTGTATAATCTGTAATCGGCCAATCAAGGCGTTCGAGCAAGCGCCTGTGCTTGCTCTCCGTTGGCCCTGCTACCGTCGCATCGGGTTTCTTGTCATCGCTAGCAACATGGCGCCTAACAGAGCCTTCGCTGCCTTCTCTTCCATCTTCCCTTCGTTGCTGGTCTCCTCCTCCTCGTTTCGTTCCCTCTTTGCCGTTTTCTTATCCGCGCCTTTCTTTCGATCTCTTCTCGTTTTACCTTTGCCCGCGCTCGCGGTGTTCGACTTGGCCACGGAAAACGACGAAGACGATGCGAAAGGACGAAGAAGGAAGAATGGATCGAGAGAAGTGAAGTCGCGAATCTCTTTTTCTCCGGGGCTTCAATTTGAGGACGTGGTAGCGCGTTCGTGCCGCCGCCGCGGCCGCCGTGGTGCTACACCGACGAAGGTAGAACGAGAAGGAGGGGAGGTAGGGTAACAAGGACAGAGGGTACTTGTACACGCGAAGTATACATCGCCATGAGCAGAAACGTATGTGTACGTGCAAAGGGATAGACACGTAGATACACTACATAGGTACCAACACGGCGGTCTGCGTTCCTGCCACGTACCTACCTTGGGCGTGGTGGTTCCTTTTTCTTCGTCTTCGCCGAGCAACGTGGTCGATCTCTCCTCATTGGCCCTGGGAATGCCAACGCGTCGAAACGAGATTCGAAAGTCGCGCACAACCGAGGGAAGAACTGTACGCCGAATGAATTCGAAATCTGAATGTTCGGGGAACGCGCGCTCTTAAAATTGGTCCAAGTTTTAGCTCGTGGTAACGCTTAGTGCCTATTTATATTTCGGGAAACGATAATTGTGTAAAAAACAACGAATCATGCTCTGTGCTTTCTGTTATTGTTAACAAAATTGTAAGTGATTCAAGTTTTGAAATCTGGTCATAGAAATTATGGCATCCTTACCCGAGGGATTATTAAAAGAAGTTCTTTTTGTCTGTGATAGATTCAGAATTAGGAATCCGAGTGTGTAGGGAAACAAGCGGCTCTAAGATTAAAAAGTTCTGTCCAAGTATGAACCAACTTGATGGATCCTAATATGTATCTCGTACGATAACCATAGACAGAATCGCGTCACGGTAGATGATTCCCTATGTCTTGTTATCAATTATTGATAGAACCATAAGAGACCTAGGCATGATATCGATATCGCGACGAACAGACCGACGAATAATCGAATCGAGCTACCCCTCTGCACCGAGCAGGGTAAAAATAAGAAAATACTCTCTCTCAAGGAGCGATATATAAAACCATCGATCGACCGACGCGATGCGACGGTGTAATATCTTTCGCGTTTGTAAAACTCCGAGAATTCATCATTCTCCCGTTTCGAAACGTTACTGGTTTTTTTTCTCGAATCAACAAATCTAGATTCGCAATCTTTCTGAGCAATGAGGACTTCTCGCGTTTATCCAGACGGCTTGTCCGTCTTCTGATAGTGATTAATAAATAGCTCGCGATCAAGGTCGTATAAGATCTTGTCGATGGAGCACGCGATGCGTTCACGGAAAATCCGAACGTCATCGAAATCGTAGCAAATTAGCGCAACGCGAGATAAGTATCGTCCATGCATGAGCGCGTGTACAAATGTGGCTTGAAGTATTTATGCTGAAAAAGCTAGAAGATGAGAAATGAGCAGTACGTAACCTCTTGAACAAGATGAAGAAATGACTTGAAAATTTCTCGATCAATCAGTGAAATTGATTTTACAATTGGAGTAAGAAGTTAAGTTCATTTTTGCGTGACATCGAAAAAAATAAATGAAGCATACGTTATGGAAACAGCGGCCGTATGAACTTTTCCTATCTTTCCGGCTACCAGAACGCTACGTAACACCGGATCACTTGCGAAACTTAACGTGGCAGACGTCGATCTGTGAATAACTGCGTGCATGTGTCCCTCCGCCCTGTATCTCTACCTTTCCCTCGCTTTCCGCTCGTTTATCTGCGTCCATTTATCTGTCTATCACAGGCGTCGCGTCGACCGACATGGCGTACACATGCCTCCAGTGCTACTTTGGCAAGCCTTTCGTCTATGCTTATCGTTCCCGATCGTCTAAAGATAACTGTCTCAGTTTCTCGCCGTGGAACAATGAATCAGCTAATTAATGACGGTGTATCACTTCGATCGTCTACCATGAAAATTCGATGAAAATCTCTAAGATTCAGCCCGGACGAATCTTTATCATTTTTTTATCTGATTCGAGAATTTTACCCAGTGTTCGATCTTTACTATCAGATTCGAAAGCAGATTCCGAGTAGAAGTCGACTACGATCGAGCATGCACCTCTGTCGCTACGAGTTCTCTAGGTTAGATGCATTAGATAATAGGGTCCCAAGTCTGTACGTAGTCGCGGAACAATAGCTCGAATATAATTGATGATTCTGCCTGGCCGGACTCGCGTATGAATCATTAGGCGAACGCCAGTTGTTCTACTTGGAGTTAGGCGACGGAACGGGCGGTCGCGTGAAAGCGGTGCGCCAACTTCGGCGCGAATGTCAACGGTATTGTGTTCAAGGCATTAGGCGGTCTGTATGGTAATAGTAATTAATATTTACTGGTCTGTCCCGCGTAAGAAACCGTTTCGTAAAACTTTTATACGCTCATGCAGAAAGTTTTCTTGCTGTCAAGTTGTTCTATTATGTTGCGATGTCCCCCCAAACTGTAATGAATCCAGCCAAGAGGAGAAATCGAGCTCCTTCAAAAACAATCGATTCACCTAAAAACCGTATCGAAGCGTATTCAATACAAAACAACCTCCCATCGATGTCCGAAGAAGGCCAATTAATCGATCTGTTCTTCTTATTCCTTTCTTACAACTTAACCCGCTTTTCCAACTGTCTGCTTCCGTCCCTGTCACCAGTTCAGCTCCTTCCAATTTTCTATCCGAGTAACCGGCATCGAGGCATTGCTTATCGT